GGAATGACACGTAGCCTGTGGCTTTCTTATTCCTTCTTATTCCGTTCCTTTGGCTTCGGCCGCCGACGAGGGATTAGCCTAATGGGTCCTGCCTACCCCTCCACACTACCCCTCCTCTCTGCGCCCCCTCTCCCTCCCCCCCCCGGTCCCTCGCTGCACACGTATATAATATGTATATCTATCCCGATTCCTCTCTCATACCACTTCTCTCTGTCTCTCTCTCTCTCTTTCTCTTTAGGATCTCGTCTCTGCGGCTGGAACGGATCAAGAGAGTATCCGCGCGATGAACAACGCCGCTAAGTGATTCACAATCAGGTTTATTGATTGTATCGACGATCGATGATCGCTCTTGGTAGAAGAAGAACGAGAGAGAGAATAGAAGAAGAACGAGAGAGAGAGAGAGAAATACTGTTTTAAATGTTTCAGCGTACATCGCGCGAGATATCTTTTCTTACGACTTGTCGATTTGCTTGCACGATTCGCAATCAAATTTGCAGATTGCATCGCTCCGATCGATATTCGCATTGTTCGGTCATCGTGAGTTGCTCAGCGAGCTATTATCAAGCCGCGCGCAAATAGTCAATAATATTTCTCGAAACTGCGATAATATCGGAATAGATTCTTTTAGTACGCTGAAAACGATGATTTGTATGATATAGAAGTTATTTTGCTTTACTTCATGGCTAAGTGGAATCGATCATTTCGGGAACAAAAAAAAAAAATGCTTTTATGCATGGGATAACATGAAATCTTAAAGTATTTAAAAAATATATATATTTCTTGTAAAACATTTTTCAACTTTATTACGTATTATTTTATAATAAAAAAAAAACACGCGATCCGATTATTTACAATATTACATTAGGCTGTTGAAAAAGATTTTTGCAGAAAAACAGGATTAATTATACATCCCTTTAATTTATTCATGACTTTATCAACGTCATATCGAGCGTAATACTTTGTTGCTTCTCGCTGTCGGTTCGTAATCCTCATCTCCGAAGAGTCGCTTTCGAGAGTCGACACATCGACGGAATGAAGAATGCAAAAGAAGTCGGTGAGCGATTACACGAGCGAAAAAAAGAAGGCAAGGACGCGAGAAAGGGAGCAGAGGGCTGGCTGTCGGGGCTGATATCACAGTGTGTATCTAATGCGCTGCACGAATCGGGCTGCAAGCATCATGGAGTACGGATACGATCCTTGTCACGCGAGCGTATAATCCTCCGAGAGCGATACATACTCGTAAGACGTGTGTCTTTACAGATGCTGCCTTACCTCCGGATTGAATTAAAAGGCGCATTCGGAGTTTATACGAGATAATCCTTTCGGATTGATTGATAATTACTTATCCTTACATTTTACGCAATTTATCGTTACATTTTTTATAAGAAATTTGCCGATAAAAAGAGTCCAAGTTTTATAAAATTTCGATTTAAAAGACATATTTTTTATACAAAATAATTATTACAAATTATATATTTTTGTATAGCTTATAATAATTCTTTACTTTTTTAATCTTTTATAATATACAAATAAGTAATCTACAATAAAAGACAGATGTTTAGATATCAATTATTCTAATTTATAAAATAAAATTTTTCGGCCAAATTTCATGTGGCCATATTATCACTTTAATTTCTTACGTCCCTTACATATTTTCTTCTGGCTTATCCTTTATTTTCAATCATGTCGACTCACAACTCGTCGCAGTCTTTCATTAAGTCGCGATTTAATCGGACGCACTTAAAAGTTGATGCTCGCGCGTGTGTTGTAGAAAAATACTAATTACGTGGCAATATCGCTCGAGAAGAATCAGTCGATCGTTCTACAAAGATACTTTGTACTCGGATATTTTGGCAAACGCACGGTACTGCACTTTAAGATAGATACGTTCTTCAATATTGCAAGAATAGTCTCAGATAGTTTTTTTTTTAGAGTATTGATAAAATCAGTATTTTCTCTCGTTGTTTATAATTTATTCTCTATTTATTCTTTAGAGCAAGAAAAATATTTTTAATATTAAAACATTCACGCTGTACGCTACAAAAAAAGGCAAAATAAAA